TGCTTGGCATATGTGAGCCCTGGGTTCAATCCTCAGCACCACAGATAAATAAATCAATTAATTAAAATAAAGATCCTTTGACAACTAAAAAATATTTTAAAATAAATTTAAAATTTAAAGAAAAGGAGTTGGGGAAAGAAGAGTACCAGATGTGTTTGAAACATTGAGCAAGGAAGTACTCAAAAAAAGAGATGGATTTGCCAAATGGACACAGAAGCCAAACTGATAGAGCTCCCAGGTCTCTCAGCTCAGAGAAATTTAAGCACCAAAATAAATAATTATAGTAGTAGTTTATATATAATTCATTGAATAAAATGAGAATCCATGAATCCAACTGATACAAATGAATGTTTGATGAGGAATAAGATATTCAAATATTTTCAAACAACTCCTCATGATATACTAATTACAAAGAGAAAAAAAGTAACTTCACAATGAAGAAGCCTGGCAGACACCACCTTAATCAAGTGATCAAAGTGAACATCATGAGATTCATCGAAATGATGTTCCACTCGACAAGAAGCAAAAGGCCTCAGCTCAGTTCTGTGACATTCTATGACATTAACTAAATGAAATATATAATTCTAAACAATATCCTTTCACTATAAAGGATGTTATTTATTAGTACAACTGGAATATCCATGTTAATTTCCTAATTTTGATGGTTGCTAAGACTATCTAAGAGAGTCTCCTTATTTGTAGGAAATTAACATTAAAGTCTATAGAGGTCAACGGGACCTCAGATTGGAAACTTATTCTCAATGGCTCAAGAGGAAGGGCGATATAGTTTCTGTTGCTATACCTGATACATTCAATAAGTTTGAGGTTGTTTCAAAATAAGAAAAAAATACAATAAAAAGAATAACTTTCTTCATCTGCTATATAATTTATATAGGAAAGAGAAGAACAGCTTGCTTCTGAATCGCTATTAATTTTCAGAATAACAGTTGAAGCCACAGAAATTTCCAATGGTGAAATTATATATCAGATACTTTTATATTTGATGTGCTTCAATCAGTTGTTGTGACTTTTTCCTCTTGATTTCCACACTGTTTCTGTGTCCATTTGGCACAATTCTGGTAATCAGTAATTTTCTTCCCTTCTTTTTTTCTCCTTCCTTCCCCTTTTCCTTCCCTTTCCTTTCCTCCTCCTTTTCTTTGCACACACACACACAAAAGATCCATGTTCATTATTTATATTTCTTTCCAAAACCTGTAATCAATTTTTGGATCTTGAAAAATTCAGAGGAAAAGTCTTTCCTTCCCAGCTCACTGAATTAATTCCTTTTAAAAATAGAACAAAATTCAGGATACCTTATTTCCTCAACTCTCCTGTTGAAATTTGTCTCTTCTCCTCATCCATGGACTCCTAAAAATGGCAAAACAAATATAGCATACCCCAAGTTACATTGCATTACAATAGCTCACTGATTAGTGTAGGGGGACAATGGTTGAAGAGGGATAATCTAATCCTTTTATTAACTTCCTTGAATCATAAATGAGAAAATGATCAAACTTTATTTCAAATTTTTTATTGTAGGCACTGAGTGACAGATATGTGAGTTTACTTGTTCTAGTAGAAACATTTACAAGTGGCAAGTGAGTCAATTTCCAGAATCCTCTTAACCATAAAATTAGAGCCAGATGATATTGTTTGAGCAAACACTTTGGGAGGAGGTAAGAGAGGAAGCCATGTGGTTTTCCGGTGGGTATGTGGAGTAGATTTCTGGGCAGAGAAAACAGCTTGTGTGAAGATCCTGAGGTGAGAATATGCTTTGAGTATTTGTGAAATTGTAAGGCTACTGTGGCTGAGCAAAATCAGCAAGGTAAAGGGAGGAAAGAAGATCAAAGACATAAGGAGAATGCCTTCAAGACAAAGTATGCAGGGCCTTGTAGGACATTTTCAGTACTTTACTTTGAGATGATATGGGAAATACTTTTTGGGTTTGGGACAGAGAAATGACTTTATCCAACGTATATTTTAACAAAATTGTTCTGGATGCTTTGTGAATACAGAATGAAGGGGAGAAAGCACTGTTAGAAAGCTACTGTAATGGAAGATGATGTTCACTAAGACAAGGCGATAGCAGTGACAGACATGAAAAGCCATCAGGTTATGAGTATCATTTAAAAGTAGTGCCAACAGGATCTGCTAAAGATGCAAAGGATGGAGAAGTAGGTATCTCTCCTCAGATATAGGTGCAAAAGTCAGAGAAAAACCAAGAGTAATCCTTAGAGTTTGGCTTTGAGCCACTTTAAGGGCAGAGATTCCATCAACTGACATAATAAAGAATTCTGAGAGAAGTATGTTTTGGAGAAGTTGCTCAGGACCTCAGTTTTAGACAATAAAGGTTGAGATATCTATTAAACATTCAAATGGAGATGCTAAGTATGTGGTTAAATATATAGTTAAATATATATAGGAGATGGTCTAAGCAGGAGATGTATACTTACGCATTGTGATAGGTAGTATAATGTCCCCCAAGTTGTATGTGTTCTGATCCTCGGAACCTGTGAATACATTAATTACAGATGTGAAGGACTTTGTAGATGTGATTAAGGTCTGAAATTTGAGACAGGGAGATTATTCTGGATTGTCAGAGTGGACCTAACCTCATCAGAAGGGTCCTTAAAGGCAAAAAACTTTTCCCAGCTGTGGTCAAGGGAAGGTCAGAGAGGAAGATTTTTCTGGCTTGGAAAACAGAGGAAGGGGTAACAAGCTGGGGAATGCAGGCTGATTCTAGAAGCTGGAAAAGGCAAGGAAATCGATTTTCCCCAGCAGCATCCAGAAAGAAATAAAGCCCTGTTGACAGGTTGATTTTAGCCCACTGAGATCTGTGCCGGACCTCTGACCTACAGAACTTTGGAGCCCCAGCTCCAAAGACTAACCTCCCCATCCCCCGAGAAGAGCCGTCCAATGGTGAGCCCTGCTAACTCACATGATCCTTACCCACCAATCAGACTAGCCCTGCTGGCTCACATGATCCTTACCCACCAATCAGACTAGCCCTGCTGGCTCACATGATCC